TGCTGTTTTTATCATTCCCCCACTTTCTACTGGATAATGGGCTTCTTTAACTACATCTCAGTCTTGTTCCCCAACTTTTCAGTTACTTTTGCTTATTAAAATAAGTTGGGCCATTAAAGATTCGGTTCTATGTATTTTAAAATGCCAATTTCACTTATGATTCAGAGTCCTCCTCATCCCTCTAGGACATCTATCTACTTATCTATATCTATAGATGATAGATAGATAGATAGATAGATAGAGTCTTGGTTCACACAATTATGGAAGCTGGGAAGTTCCACAGTGTGCTGTCCGCAAGTTGGAGAACCAAGAAAGCTGGTGTGTAGTTCAAAGGCCTGAGAACTAGAGAGCTGATGTGTAGACGCCAGTCTGAATTAGAAGTCCTGAAAATCAGGAATACCAATGACAGGAGAAGATCAACGTCCCAGCTCAAGTGGTCAGGCAGACAGCAAATTCAATCTTCCTCTGCCTTTCTGTTCTGTTTAGGCCCTCAATGGATTGGATGATGCCCACCCACATTGGGGAGAGAAACCTGCTTTACTCAGTTCACCAATTCAAATGTTAAGCTCTTCCAGAAACGCACTCAAAGATGAACCTAGAAATAATGCTTAACCAGATATGCATATGTGGGCATCTCATGGCCTAGTCGACACATAAAATTAACCATCACTCCCTCCTTCCCTGTGTTTACTCAGATGGTTTGAGAATTTGGAGGAAGTGGATAAAAAGACACTCTTTATCTGACTACTTAGGGTAAGATTGCTATCCCCGTGTGATTAATCATCACTGTGGCTCAAGTTTGATTTCTATAAAGTCTGCTGATAAAGACTCACACCCAAGTAGCTCCCTTAGGCTTTGGTGGCACCCTAGAAGATTGAGCCATATGATGCATGTGACTCCTAGCTGATGACCCTCACACAGCATTCCTGTGATTGATAGATCTCTTTGCCCTATTCTGTAACAGTTTCTGGTAAGCCTGTATGTATCTCAATAACTCTCCTCTCCCCAGCTACAACTCCAGAGCCTGTAGATATGGTAGGATTTCTTTTTCACACCTCTCTAGAATTAGGCACTTTGGTAGGGGGTCAATCCTAGTCCTTTCTCCACTTGGCCACATGACCACATTATCTCTGCAAAATGTTCTTTCCAGGCTCCTATAGCACCTAGGTAGCTGAAAATCGCAGTGGTAAAGCAGATATCCAGCAGAGGAATAAGAAGTGAACCTTGCCATCTTATAGATATTCCTAAACTTTATGTACAATTCTAAGATCCTACTCACTTGGCTTTGAGGAAGGGAACCAATCAAATGCCACTATCTACCATAGTTACAGGAGATAAGGAGAGGGGATAGGTTCTTTTTATAAATACTGTACTCCCCCAAATGTGAGCCCAGTCTACTCCTTCCCAGTACTACACTATTCTTCTATTATTTTCAGGTATTAGTCATCAAACCATTTCACCCTCTTTCTGTCCTTTGGGGGCACATGAGTCCCAAACTAAAACTCTTGTGTCCTTCTAATTTAGACTTGGACATTTTTAAAATTTTGTTCTTAACAGGTTGTTATCTAGCTCCAACTCCTCAGAATACTCCAGGGGATAAGAAAAGATCTCAACCAACACCTCATAACATTTTAGTAAAGATAACATCATTTCCAGGACAATTTTCACCTACCTTTAAAACACCACTTTCATGATAACCAACTTCCTATATATAGCATAACTTCTGATGTGGAAAAATATACAAACGTATGTTTTCATCTAAGAATGTTTGGTGTTTTCAAACAAAAGACTTGTCCCAGATGGGTAAAAAAGACAACAGCAAAACAATTAGCCACTGAAAGAAATAAAAATCCACTTGCTAAACTTCATATTCAATGGTTATATTGTAGTAGTTTCTCTACTTTAAGGGGATTCTTTCTAGGTAATTCCTAATTTCCATAAAAACTTTTCTGTATTACTCTAAATATAGCCCCCTGAATGAAAAGCAATTCAGTTGTGGATGCATTCAGTCAACAAATATTGACTAATCACCTGCTTGGTATAAGAAACTCACAGTCACTGGATACGCAAAATTGAACAAAGCAGGTGTGTTTTGGGCCTTCATGGATTTTAAAAGCAAGTTGATCTAGCTAAGGAAAGAATTCCGCTCTGCCTACTCTTCAAATTTTGTTAGAAACCATCTAAAATAATGGTAAAAAAATGAAATGAGTCAACTTTTATTGACAATTTATTAGGTTCTGTGGTAAGTACATGATATATGTGATTTACTTCTAACAACCCCTGTTTCACAAAGGAAGCAGAGACATTTATAGGTAATTGACCCAAAGTCATACATCAAGTTAGTAGCAGAGACAGGATTTATATCCAGACGTGTTTAATACCAACAGCTTATGTTTCTAATCAGCATCCTTTCAGCCAATATCACTAATACAGCTATCTAATTGAAAAGGTGCAATTTTGTAATTTGAGCTTTTGTGGCTATATATTAATATATCTATTGTGAGCACCAAGAAGGAATATATCTGCTAAGAAGGTTATGGTTATGGTTATGGTTAACAGAGCCCAAATTAATAATCAGTGTCTAGCAGCCATTGTTTATAGAGGCCTCTCACACACACTGCGTATCAGAGAAAGCTGCAGACCAAGCTGCCAAGCCTCCTGCACTGTGTTCCTCCTTGCAGAGCCTACCCTTATAAAGGAATTCCTGGAATCATATTTTGATCACTTGCTAAACTTCATGGGCTGAGACCTGCCCTATCCAATCGGAGCTGTGCATCTATATCTTCATTTGCATCTTCACCAACCAATCAGAGCAACTCCAATCGGGATGCACAATTCTGACCAATCAGGAAAGTGCTATTTGGACCAGTCAAACTGAAAATTTGGATTCCTCATTTGCACACAAATGAAACAATCAAGGACTAGGGCTGGCACTTTTTATATATAAGCAGGCTTCCCCTGTCTTGGAGGAGAACACTTTTGGTTTCCACCTGAGCCTGCATTTGCCCATTTTGCCAACTGTTCACCTGAATAAAGTCTCTCCTTTTGCCGCAGCCCAAATTGGGGATACCTATTGGCACTGTATTGGTGACAGTGACCTTTCATTGACACTATATATCTCTTAAAGCAAATATATAAAATCATACACACACACACACCTCCCAAGTCTCAAACTAGACAGAGGGTGCCAGAAGAATGTATACACATTTTAAGAAAGGGAAACTATTAAAATTGTAATAATATACACTGATAACAAAAGATGAATACAAGTCACGTTTGACTTCTGCAATTATAAGAGGTGCTCATAGTGGTTACCATCAGTGTCCAGACACTTCTGATTACGGCGAACTACTGCTTGAGCAATGTTGACAAAGGTGCCCACTTGTATATATATATTTGGCACCCCTGGTATATGCACTAGGCATATATTCTTCCTTTATTCAATGTCTCAGCTAGTTTAGCAGGATAGGAGATTACAAAGGAGTTTGGAGCCAAACCTAGAGGCAGTAAGCATTTGTCTGGCCTGTCTTGCCTCAGTGCATAGAACTCTTTTGGTTCCTGTATCACAACCAACATCTACGAAGGCAGATGGCTTTGGAACTGACTTCTGCATGTTGTATACTTAACGTCTGAGATCATTCTACAGAGATATTTGTAGGGGTGGTTTGGAAGGTTTGGAAAGAAAAGCAGGAAATAACAAGGCTCCTTTCTTCCAAAGACTGTGGTACCAAAAACATCACATAAATTTGCATAAAATGGTCAAGATCTGACAACTGGACTTCTCCCTGAAGATTTACTTTACAGATCATTTTTTTTTAAAGATTTTTATTGGGGAATTGGGGGATGGGAACAGTGCTGGGGAACTCGGGGAAGGGGAACAGACAAGTTGCTGTCATTTTTGTTCTTCAATCTAGTTGTGGAGGATGTTGCTTCACTGGCTCAGGTTGGCACCGTCATTGCGCTCTTCCCGGGCGAGGCAGATCAGTCGCCGGCTTCTGGACGGCCGCTCACTGCGGCTGCTGGCCGCTCACGCTGGCTGCTGGCCGCTCACGCTGGTTGCTGGCTACACACAGTAGCCCATGGCAACCCACTGCCAAAGGGGCTGCAGCCTACGCCGTCGCCGGCGACTCATGGCAGCCCAGCTCCAAGTTGAGCTGTTGTTCAGCATCTTAGCTGTGGAGGGCAGTGTCACTGGCCCTCATATGTGGGATCCGAACCCGGGCCCTCTGGCATCCCAAGCGAGTTCTTAACCATCGCGCCACTCGGCCGGCCCTTTACAGATTATTTTGAAAACACCAACTGCATTCAGGAAGATGCCTCCCTTTTTTCAAAATGAAACTTTGAAACAAGGTTGTATGTTTTAAAAGGGGTTTGATGTTGTGTGGAGCCAGCAAAAATACTTTCTGTGTGGTAGAGGTGAACAGAATCAAACAGTGAGGCTTCTTCATTCTGCAGGATGAAGCATTTCTTTCCAAAATGAAACTAAGTAATTTTTAATTTTTTGAGGCTAGCTGATTAAAAACAGAAATTATTGGGAAGTATATATACAACCCACTCTATCTCCTTGACTCTCTCTCTGAAAAGTCTCCTGATGCCTCCTCACTCTAGCCCTCATTCTAAATTTTCTGGAAGGGTAAGAATTCAGGGGACAAGGCGAGCAGTAGTGGCTGTGCTTAGTGCGGGGTATGTAGAGGGGCGGGGTGTGTAGGAACGTGGCCGGAGAGAAGAGGAGAGAAAGCAAAAACCAAGGCCTGGGGAGGGAAGGAGAGGGGTGGAGGGTGTTGCAGACCCCTCCTAGGTAAACAGAGAAGGGCAAACTCCAGCCCCAGGGAGGTGATGCCACTTGTGGGCCCTCAGATTGGAGCGGCCCGAGATGAGTGACAGGGATATGGGCGCTGGGGCCCCGCGCACGAACAGGCGGTGAGGGTTGTCTGTGCCTGTGCACAAGGCGGGGGAGGGGGGCCGCGCTCCTGCTACACTGGCTGCGGGAGTTGGGGGGCGAGCTGGTTGGTGACGCGGGGCCCTCACGTGACCGGAGCTGCAGAGCAACGCAGCCTTCGGTGCAGTCGTCACTCCTGTCTGGGTACCAGCTCCCCGCTGCCCTGCGCCCGGCGGGCTGGCATCGGGCCCGGGGAAAGCGGAGCAGGTAAGGGTCCGGGGCCGCGCGGAGGCCAGGGCTGCAGCCGCCCGCAAACCCCGGAGGCCAGCGCTGGGGATCAGCGCAGCGGTCCCCACCGGCTTTCTCCACCCCTGGAATTCTTGAGAACATAAACAGTGACCCCCCCACACACACACACACACTCACACACGGGGTGGGGGTGCTGAGGCGGCAGTGTTCCAGGGAGGGCAGCAGAGCAACTCAGCGGTGGGAAATGCCCCCAAGTTTCTGCAGGAAAATGAGGAACCCGGTGTGGGGAGAGGGGGCGGGAGAGGTGGGGCGGGGGCGGCAGGAGGCATCGGTGGGAGCCGGAGCTGGGAAGGGGCCTGGTGGCGGCGGCCACGGCTCCCCCACTCCCACTCTCTACAGGTCTGCGGGTCCAAGTGTTGGGGCTGCGCACTCCGGACGACAATCGGGAGGAGGCGGAGACAGCAAGGATAGGCCCAGGTGGGTGTGGGGGACACTGGGGGTAGGGCTGGTGCTGAGCCCAGTCTGAGACAGTCCCCTCCCCCCAAGTCCCTCGTCCCCGGTTGCCCATTCCCCAGTCCTCCATTTTGGTGCCTGCTGAGCTCTGGGAAAGAATCCTGGGAAGGAAAAAATGGTGGGCTTTGGGGGAGGGAGGGAAAAGGAGAGAGCTGGAGGGAGGGGCTTGAATTGGAGGTCCCCTAGAGGGCGCACGAAGCTCCTAAGGTGGGAAAAAACGAAATTTATAAAACTTTTGATATCAGGTCTCTGAATCCTACTGGTCAGTGTACCAAGCATTTAATCTCTCCTTGCCCTTGTCTTGTGTTCAAAGAAAAACAACCAGGAAAAAAAATATGGCAAATATCCACCAGGAAATCGAAGAAATGGAGCAGCATATGCAGAATGGAGAGGAAGACCGCCCTTTGGGAGGGGGCGAAGGCCACCAGCCCGCAGGAAATAATAGACGAGGACAGGCTCCCCGACTTGCCCCTAACTTCCGGTGGGCCATACCCAATAGGCAGGTCAATGATGGGATGGGTGGGGATGGAGATGATATGGAAATGTTCATGGAGGAGATGAGAGAAATCAGGAGAAAACTTAGGGAGCTGCAATTGAGGAATTGTCTGCGTATCCTTATGGAGGAGCTCTCTAATCACCACGACCATCATGATGAATTTTGCCTTATGCCTTGACTCCTGCCATTTTCCATGAGATTAATATTGTGATTCCCACTGTTTTCTTTTTCCTTACATTTCCTGATATGCCTTTACTGATCCGTTTGCTGTGAACCTTATGTAATTTCCATGTGTCAGGTGGGTTCTGTATTACCAGCTTCTAATTGGAGATTGCCTTGGCACCCAGTCTTAAATTTCTGTCAACAGTAGCTTCACCCATTTGCATGGAAAAATGTAAAGTTAATAAAGCAATTAAAAAGCAATCTATACATTTATTATCTCATTTAAAACATATATATGAATCCTCTGAAAAATCTGAAATCAAATCCCCCAGGGTGTTGATTGGGACACATTTCTCTGTGGTTGGATAGTCTTGTAACTTTTTCCCTCTTATTTGAAGCTTTAGAAGCAATGAAAACAATTTTTCAATGAGTCTGTGAATGTAGTACAGGTACAAAATAATTACTAGTTCTACAAACAAAGAGTGAACTTTTAGTATCTTCCAGCCTTACCTGGAAGAATAAACCCTCCTTTAGTATGGATATAGGCCTTTAAAGAGTAGGTCTTCTTTGCTGTAAAATGGTGAATAATGCTTGCCTCACATGGCTGCTGGGTGAAATAGGTGAGGTGTGGAACTCTGTTGGACTTCCTCCAATGCAATTCCTCAGCATTTAACAGGACCCTGGTCCTCATCAGGTACGAGTGAAGGAGTTTTCACCCATGCTCACAAGTCTAGAGGACAAAAATAGGTGGGTTCCATCCACCTTGTCATTCCTCTGATATTTGCAATACTCCTTCCTGCTCCCCTGATTATTGCTGTGTCAGTTGGGCATACTTTCCCTTCTGCTGGGTCCTGTTGCTCTTGCTGATGTACTAGAGTCCTCGAGTTAACAAAAACCCATATTTTTCTGGAGGCCCCGGTGAGCTAAATTGCCCTTTGACCCCTGTTGAAGTGTTGTGGAGAATGTCTTTATCTTCACTTTAGAGTTATGTTTATCCAAGTGAACACCATTCCCATGGTTCTTCGTCTTACCTTGGTTCTTAACAAAATAGCCCTTCTCAGTTTTATTTTTATGCCCCTCTTCAAATAACTCAGGCGTGAAGACACTGGGACCTAGCTCAGGAGATTCATCTAGATGCCTCAGTGGTATGTTCAGCATAGCACTACTTCAAACCACCAAAACAAACAAACTGAAAGCTTTGTTAAGCCTGTGTTTTTACCCTTTTTGGGGATTTTCTTAAAAGAGCATCTGGGCAGGCCTGCCCAACCAGTTTGACAGACTTACCCAGAAGACATAAATTACATTAGAGGAACACATTTCAAAGCTAGCTGAAACACTCCTTTCCCATTTCCATCCCTTCCACACCTGAAACATGAAACTGCTTTGTAAGTTCTTAAAAACAATACTAAATATTTGGCATTATTGTTTTTATGTGTGCGCCCTTTTCAAGACAAACATTTTGTCTTAATCACCCTGGATCTCAGGTTCTAGTGTAGTGCCTGACAGGTATTTAATTATTAATTACTCTGATTGATAATTAACTATATATAATGGAGTTCAGAACCCATCAATACTGTTCCTAACTGTACTTTATAATTAAGTGGCCTAAGGCAAGTAACTACTTACCTGGAAAGTATTAACTTTTAATTTCCAAAGGAAATTCTCTAACCCAAAGTCCATAATTTTTTTATACCTTGTATGTACCAGTGTTTACATAAACACGAATCACTTACTTGCATCTTCTAGGGAAAATACTAAAAATGCTGACACTTGGGTGCCCTTCCTACTCTCAACGCCCATTGTCACCCCCATATCACCTGATCAGGAACTACTGTTTTGACAGTTCCTCAGGTGATTCTGGTGCATCTGAGTTTTGACAACATAGGTATAAAAAAATACTGACAAGTGATTACACCACTTCACACTGTGATCTTATTTGATTCCATAGTGAATATATGAATATCTTTCCAAAATATAGTATTTCTAAAATTGGATTGCATTAAACAATAAATGTATGTCTATATTTAAAACAGTACTGTTTTTATCTTTCCAAATATCCTATTAAACTAATGCATTATTATTCTATTATTAACAATACATTTATAATTATAGAATTATTAAATAATTTAGGCATCATTTGTGTGCAAGTCTGTGCCCTTTTACAACAATGATTTTTGTCAATGACCCTGGAATTCAGCTTCTTGCACAGTGCCTGACATAGTAGATATTTAATAACAATAATTCATTTAATTATTTTATTAATTTAATTATTAATATCAAATTTTTAAACAATTTTAATTTATCTAAAATAATATATAACAATATTATTGAGTCTTTCTGGGTGGTTTATTTCTTTTCATTCATGTTTTAAAAGCTTCGATGAGCATTTTAAAATGTAATACTTTTTTTTTTAAAGATTTTATTGGGGAATAGTGGGAGGGGAACAGACAAGTTGCTGTTGTTTTTGTTCTTCAGTCTAGTTGTGGAGGATGTTGCTTCACTGGCCCAGGCTGGCACCATCATTGTGCTCTTCCCGGGCGAGGCAGATCAGTCACTGGCTCTGGACGGCCACTCACAGTGGCTGCTGGCCACTCACGCTGGCTGCTGGCTACACATGGTAAATTATGGCAACCCACTGCAGCTGGGGACTGCAGCCTATGCCATTGCCAGCTACCCACAGTAGCCCAGCATTTTAGCTGTAGAGGGCAGTGTCACTGGCCCTCATATGTGGGATCCGAACCGGGGCCCTCTGGCATCCCTAGCCAGCTCTTAACCAACGCGCCACTCGGCTGGGCCTAAAATGTAATACTTTTTATAATTTATGTAACACAAGGTCATTATACATATTTGAATTATGCAGAAGATATAAGGAATATAAAAAATCTATAGTCCAATCATTCAAAGATAATACTTGTAAATTTTTTTATTGTCAGACCGGCCAAGTGGCTTAGTTGGTTAAGAGTGTGAGCTCTGAGCAAAAGGGTCACTGGTTCAATTCCCACATGGGCCAGTGAGCTATGCCTGAGCTGAGCTGCCGCTGAGCTGGTGAGAGCTCATGCTCTTAGCAGCAAGGTTGCCGGTTCAACTCCCACATGGGATAGTGGGCTGTGCCCACCCACAACAAAGATTGAAAACGGCAACTGGACTTGGAGCTGAGCTTGCGCCCTCCACAACTAAGATTGAAGGACAACAACTTGACTTGGAGCTGATGGGCCCTGTGGCAGTGGGTTGCCATGGGCTACCATGTGTAGCCAGCAGCCAGCGTGAGCAGCTGTCCAGAAGCCGGCGACTGATCTGCCTCACCAGGGAACAGCGTAATGATGGTGCCAACTTGGGCCAGTGAAGCAACATCGTCCACAACTAGACTGAAGGACAAAAGGACAGCAGCTTGTTTGTTCCCCTTCCCCGATTCTCCAGCGCTGTTCCTATCCCCCAATACCCCAATTAAAATCTCTAAAAAAAAAGTCATCCCATAAGTAAAAAAAAAAAAAAGACTGGATTACATGAATGAAACATAAAAGATCCCATTTTCTAATTTTTGTGCAGATAGCATGTAATGTTTCTCATTGTAACCAGTTGGAAGGCATTCTAAGTGATATAACTATACCTAAATAAATAATGCATTCTTATAAATTTAAAAATCTTAATATTTATTTGTATATTCAACTTTACCCCAAACATTGTTTTAAAAGTTACAATTAGCCTGTTTAGAAATTTACTATTTCCCTTGTAGCTGATAGAATACATTTTCTATTTAGTAAAAATAAATTTTAATGCATTTCTTATGAAGAGAGGAATCTTCAGATGTATGCCAATTAAAAGATTAGCATTTTCCCACAAATGAAAAGAGCTTTACTGTGTTTCTGGTTGTAAAATATACATTTTAAAGTGGTTTTTGTTGTTGCTTTGGAACAGAATGTATTTTAAAATTTTTTAAAAATTTTAAAAACATACATTCAATACCCTGTTTCCTTTACTGAGACCTCATAAGTGTACATTAATTTAAAATTTTTACCTGTTTTCCTTAAATTAATAAGACTTAATTTCTATATTAAAGTCGGATTTTTAAAAAAGAAAGCAAATTAAATGTATCAATAAACTTAAAGACAGTGAAGAACTTGAAAACTTTTTGAAAAAACAAAAACAAACAATAATGAATTTCAAATTACTTCTGAATCCTTTAGTTAATATTATAAACTTAGTACTTACTACCATGACAATGCCTCAATTCATTTTACTCTGTTTATTGGTAAAATGGATAATAATTTCCAGGTTGCTGTGAGAACCAAAAGAGTTAAAGAGCATGTAAGCTGTGTTTAACTGTTTTTTATGTTCATCTGCACATACAAGACCCAAGACCTTCATATTCCCTGCAGTTTTTGGAAGTAACATTCAAACTGTATGTCACAAGCCAACACCATTCCTCTATTGTGGTGAGTCACCTCCACCCGCTCCTCCTGCTATCATTACAAATTTCTCTGGACACCTCAGTGTGCCAATGTTCCAATTTGTCTCCTATAGCACTGTGAATAAAGACATTCTACCTGACTTAGAATTGTACTAGTTTAGGTGGGTACTATCTTAGTGATGTCTGGACTATGGTATGTTGTATATTTTTATCAAAAATATCTTATTCTAAATAAATGTATGGGATTACATCAAACTAAAAAGTTTTTTCACAGCAAAAGAAACCATCAATAAAACAAAAAAGCATCCTACAGAATGAAAGAAGATATTTGTCAATGTTACATCTGATAAGGGGTTACTATCCAAAATTTATTTTAAAAAACTCATTCAGGGCCAGCCAAGTGGTGTGTTGGTTAAGAGCTGGCTTGGGATGCCAGCTCTGTGCAGCAGGGCCCCGGTTCGGATCCCACATGAGGGCCAGTGACACTGCCCTCTACAACTAAGATGGTCAACAACAGCTCAACCTGGAGCTGGGATGCTGTGAGTCGCCAGTGACCAGCATAGGCTGCAGCCCCTGCTGTAGTGGGCTGCCATAAGCTACCGTGTGTGGCCAGCAGCCAACATTAGCAGCCAGCAGCTGGTGTGAGCTGCCAAGAGCCGCTGTGAGCAGCCATGCAGAGGCCGGCGACCGATCTGCCTCACCCGGGAAGAGCGCAATGATAATAGCAACATGGGCCAGTGAGACGACGTCCTCCACAACTAGACTGAAGAACCAAAGAACAGCAATTTGTCTGCTCCCCTTCCCTGATTCCCCAATACTGTTGCCCTCTCCAATCCCCAATAAAATCTTTAAAAAAA